GGGGCGGGGGCTCAGCTGGTGCCGGGGGGGGGGGAGGTGGGATGGGAGGCTCAGCTCAGTGTCAGGGTGCCGAGGTTGGGTGGGGGCTCAGCCCGGTGCTGGTGTGGTGAGGTGGGGTGGGGGGCTCAGCTGGTGCTGCGGAGTGAAGGTTTGGGTGGGGGGGGCTCACCTTGTGCTGGGTTACCAAGGTGGTGAGGTTGGGGGGGGTTCAGCCCAGTGCCGAGGTTTGCTGGTGGCACAGCTGGTGCCGGGCTGGTGATGGGCACTGGGTGTCCTCGCGCAGCGGGCTCCCGTACGAGGTGAGCCCCGAGCAAGCCCTCTGCCACCCCGAGGTCCAGCGGCGCCTGGACATCTCCGTCCGCACTCTCCTCACCGTGTCAGAGAAGTTCGTCTCTGCCATCACCTCTTCTGTGGATCAAATCCCGTGCGTACCCCGCAGGGCTCCCCACGTCCCCGCAGCGCGGCCCCGGGAGGGCAGGGGGGGCGCTGGGGGGTTTCCGTCCCTTTCCTTGCTGTGGGAATTCCTTTGAGCTGCCGGCAAGGAGAGAAGCGATGTCAGCTCCTCCGCTGATGCTCAGAGGTGCTTTTGGCCTCTGAACCCGAGCGCTCTGCTCCTGGGGCGCAGCTGTAAGGAAGAAGGGAGTCAGGAGGAAGGCTTCCTCTGGGGTGGTGGGGGCTGGCAGCTGGGCAGATGGGGACGGGGATTCCTGAGACCCGGTGGATTTGGCACCCGGTCCCTCGCCGCATGTTGACCGACCTCCTCCCCTGTGCTCTCTCCAGCTATGGGATGCGCTACGTGGCCAAAACCCTGCGGGCGTCCCTGGCTGAGAAGTTCCCCAAAGCCTCGGAGGAGGAGCTGGACAAGGTGCCTGGGGGCTGCGCTGCCACGCGGGCTTCCCAGCACCCCTGGGGTTGTGGGAGGGGGATCTCGCTCCAGGATGTCCCTCAGTTGCTATTTCCCTCTCGACTTCATAACCTTCACGACCCAGTGCTCCCAGTATGGGCACAGGGGCACACTGCTTCCCAGTATGGGCTGACCCAGTGCTCCCAGTGTGGGTGCGGGGGCCCAGTGCTCCCGGTATAGAGACCAGCAGAGACCTTCAGTGGAAACATTTCCTGGATCAGATGCCTCCTGCGGGCACTCTGTGCGGGGGTCCCATAGAGCAGCCCTCCCCCCCGCTGCGCAGGCTCTCCGACGCGGCCGTCTCCCGCCCCACAGGTGGTGGGGAACCTCCTCTACTACCGCTTCATGAACCCGGCGGTGGTGGCCCCCGACGGCTTTGACATCGTGGACGTCTCAGCTGGGGCAGCCCTGCGCCCCGAGCAGCGCCGCAGCCTCGGCTCCATCGCCAAAGTGCTGCAGCACGCGGCTGCACGGAAAGCCTTCGAGGGGGAGAACGCGCACCTGTGTGCAGCCAACCGCTACCTGGAGGAGACGCACGGCAAGTTCCGGTGGGTGCCAGGGGGGGTGGCATGGCGGGGGGGGGGGGGGGGGGGGGGGGAGATGGTGGTGATGGCGGTGGTGGTGACGGTGGCAGTGGTGGTGATGGTGGTGATGGCGGTGGTGGTGACGGTGGCGGTGGTGGTGGTGGTGGCAGCGGCGGCGGTGGTGGTGATAGCAGTGAGGGTGGCAATGGCAGCGGCGATGGTGGCGATGGCGGCGGTGGTGATGGTGGCTATGGTGGTAGTGGGGATGGTGGTGATGGTGGCTATGGTGGCGGTTGGCCCAAGGCTCAGCATGGTGATCCCACAGAAGGTTCATCGCCGCTGCCTGCCGCGTCCCGGAGCCCGAGGAGAGGTTCAACATGGATGAGTACTCGGAGATGGTGGCCGTGGCCAAACCCGTCGTCTACATCACGGCGGGGGAACTCGTCGCCACGCACAGGGTGAGGGGGGCGTCGGGGGCTCACCGTCCCCTGGAGGGGCTCAGGGCCCGCGGTGATGTGATGCTGAGGGATGCGCTCAGCAGGGGGGGGGGGCGGTGGGTCGGGGTTGGGCTCGTTGGAAAAGCCCCCCCCGAGACCAGTGGGTCCCACCCCACGTCCCCGCCGTGCCCACGGATGGGGTCGCACGGTCGCTGAGGTTGGAGGAGACATCTGAGATCGTCCTTTGTGTCCCTGTGACGGGGGGTGGGAGGGTTGGACCTGAGGTCCTGGGGGGCTTTTCCAACCTCGGTGATCCCAGAAGTGAGCAGGGATGGGCCGATGGTGGAGCATCAGTGAGCCGCAGCCGTGCTGCAGCGCGGCGCCCCTCCGTCCCACCGTGTCACCCAGCCAGCATTTCCCAGCAGGGCTGCACAGCCCCTCTGGATCCCATCGTGTTTCCCAGAGCAGATCGGTCCCCTCTGCTCCGCCCAAGTCCCTGCTCTGCAGCCCCCTTCCCAAATCCCCTCACTTCACAAACTTGAGCACAGAGGATTTCTGTGGCCCTTTGCTCCAAGTCCCCCTTCCCCTCCCTGCCCCTTTGCCACTGACTCCTCGTTCTCACTGCTCAGCTCCTCCTCGAGCACAAGGACTCCATCGCACCCGACCCCGGGGACCCTCTGCACGAGCTGCTGGAGGACCTGGGTGAGCTTCCCACTGTCCAGGCCCTGGTTGGTACGTAGAGAGCTGTGCTATCGCACCCCTTCCGCTCATCCCGGCCAACCCCCCCCTCACTCCGGTCTCCTTCCCATAGGAGAGAGTGCTCCCAGCCCAGGGGGGGGCACGGAGCCCGTGCTGTCGCAGCTCAGCAGCGTGGAGATCTCCCTCACCCTCACCGGGAAGCCGCTGCCGGAGGTGGGCGGCGAGCAGAGCGATGGCAGGAGCTTGCTGCTGAGGTGAGGGTGGCGCTGATGGCTGCCCCACGGCCGCAGCCTTCGGGATCCTTTGGGGGGGGGATGTTGGCTCAGGCGCTCGGCAAAGAAACCCTTCGGACGTGCAGTGGTGGAGCGGAGCAGGCGCCTCACCCCCCTCCTGTCCCCAGCACCAAGCAGATGCTGGTGGACGTCATCCAGTGCCAGCCAGGAGGGTCCCTCACGGAGATCCTGCGGACGCCGGCGTCGGAGCTGGAGGTGAGGGTGGCGAGCTGCAGCCTGTGAATGTGGGGCTGGCCCTGCCCCACGGCCCTGCCCCACGGCCCTGCCCCACGGCCCTGCCCCACGGCCCTGCCCTGCGCCCCTGCAGCCACTGAGCTCTGTTTTGCGGAGCCAAGGGGCGCTTTGGGCTTTGAGCTTAGGGCAAAACATGTGGGAGTTGGGAGCTCTGTCTCGCACAAGCTGTGCGCCCCCTGCCCCACAACAAGCATCCCACCACCACCCAGCACCCCAGGAAGCCTCCCAGCACCCCGTCCCCCTTCTGCCCCCTAGGAAGCCTCCCACCACCACCTGATGCGCTGGCGGGCGCTGTGGGACTCCCAGACCCCCCCCAGCCTGAAGCACCGCCGCTCGCTGGTGGCTGCCGGCCAGCTGAGCTTGGAGGAGAAGAAGCGGAGGATCGTGCGGAACCTGCGGCGCCTGGAGGGCCTGGGGCTGGTGGCTGCAGCCCAGCACTACCAGGGGCTCGTCAACGAGCTGGCCAAGGCAAAGCGGGGGAGATGGGCGGCGTTCTGGGAGGGAGGGGGCGACTTCATTTACGCAGCATTGCTTCATGTTGAGAGCTGTTAAAAGGAGGAGCAGGGGGTCACGGAATCGTCAGGGTCAGAAAAGCCCTCCGGATCACTGAGCTCAGTGCAGCCCACTGAGCCGGTCCTTAAATGGGGTCACTGAACATTGGGTTGGAAAAGACCTCCGAGGCCACCGAGTCCAACTGCTCCCAGCCTGTCCCTGGCTGGGACGCAGAATCCTTAGGGTTGGACATCTCCGAGGTCACCACCCCACCCGTGGCCACTCACCACGTCCCTAAGGAGCGTCACAGAACGGTTAGGGTTGCAGAGTCGAGTCCAATCCCAACTCCTCTTGCTGTGTCCATCGGCAGGACCCCAGAACCATCAGGTTGGAGAAGACCTCAGAGGTCCCCTAATCCAACCCAGCCCCTCCCGCCGTGCCCACTGCCCCCGGCCCCAAAGAGCCCTTGGGCTTGCAGAAGGCCCCCAGGCTCCAATCCAGCTGTGCTCTGATGCACGCCGCGCTCAGTGGCTCTGGCGAAGCTCGGGGAGTTTCCTTCCAGCTCGCGGCTCCATTCCCTGCAGGACATCCGCAACCAGCGGCGCTACCGGCAGCACCGCAGAGAGGAGCTGCTGAAGCTGCGGCAGACGCTGCGCGCCCTCGACGCCAAGACTTCGTTCTACGAGGAGCAGATCGATTATTACAACCAGTACATCAGGAGCTGCCTGGACGGCCTGGCAGCCGGCCACAAGTGCGTTGCCTTTGGGAGAAACCCCGCAGAACCCGATGGCGGCGCCGAGCGAGGCGTCGCGCCCCTGTGCCCGGCGATGGCGGTGCTCCGTGCGCCCCTTCTCTTCCAGGCTCGGCGGGAAGAGCAAGAAGCTGCAGCCTCTGCGTTACAGCGCCGCGCGGCTCTGCGAGATGGGGGTGCTGCTGGACATCCAGGACCTGCCGGCCAGCCAGTGCGTCCTGCGGCCCCGGGGTGTCCGAGTTCAGGCTGGGGAGCTGGGGGCGTCCCTGCTGGGGGCGGGGGGGGGACCAGAGGGCTTTGGGGGCTCCTTCCAACTCTGGTGGTTCTGTGATTCTGTTGCCTTAATGATCGTTCACAGAGCCACGGGATGGTGGAGGTGGGGAGGTCCTTGAAGGTCATCCTCAGGACCATCAGAACATGGGAACAGTTTGGGTTGCAGGACCTTTGCCCCGACTCGCTGCAGGGGCTGGGACCAGATGACCTCTGGGGGCTCCTTCCCCCTCCAATGTTTCTGTGGGCCCACAATCCTGCAGCTGCATGGGGCTCACAGGTGGGGGTTGGTGTGGGGCAGCCCCACTGCATGGGCCGGGTGAGTTGCCTTCAGGCTCTGCTGGGGGAGCAGCAGGACTCAGAGCAGATGGGAGCTGTGGGTCTGTGCCGGGGGGCGGCGGGCCGCGCCACGGCCTCGCAGCCATTCGAGGCAGCTGCCGCCCGTCCCCCAGGCTAAAGAATGTCGTCTTCGACATCGTCCCGTGCCAGGAGCCTGGCTGCTTCCAGGTGAAGGCCCAATTCATGGGCATCGACATGGAGCGCTTCCAGCTGCGCTACCAGGTGGGAGACCCCGGGCCGGGGGCTGGGCGGGGGGTTTTGG